ATTAAAATAAGACAAAAGATTACAACGAAAGTATCTATGACATAATGAGAGAAACTTCAGATTTTCTCGAAAGATCTTGACGATCAATTCTTTGTATTGTAGAGGAATATCCAGTGTTTAAAAAGTGACTGCTCAAAAGAAAGAGGCATAGCAAAAGCAAACTTGTTAAATGGTTTGGCATCGTCAAATTTTATTATTGCCGAAGCAGTTTTCCAGTATAATAAGGAAGAAGAGACATGTTTATTAAAATAATTTTTTTTGTAACCTAGGAAGGGTTACTGAATGAGGAATAACCAAAACGGAGGTTGGACATGAAATGGTAATCTTTATAACATCAACAAAATACAATACTCGCCAGCGGCGTGAAGTAGGTAAACCACTGCTAGCGGTGGACTAATTATACAGCTAATTACCTTCACTTAGTGTCCAACGTATTTATGAGGATTGGGACATACCCATTAGTGTTCATAGATACGGTATATAACAAAACTTTAATTTACATTTTAAGAATTCACAAATTTATTAATTTGGCTTCTTATTCATCTTTAACATAGGTCAATTGTATGTTATAAAAAGAAAAGACATTATAGCGCCAAGCTTCACTTTACCGTCATATCCTCGTTTTAAATGCACGAAGAAAGAAAACATTTGTATAAGCTGACTTGCGTGAACTAGTTTCGTTATAGTCATAACGTTTCGGCTGTTGTATCTTATAGCCTTCTTCAGGTGTCTATCTTAGCTGTAAAACTTTAGGGAGTTTTGAAATTTAACACTTTATTCAATCTACGTGGTGTGGTAGACAGTTCTCATTTTGTCAGCGCGCGCGAAATTCTCGCACTAGAGAATTCTCTATGAAGTATTCTGATTTTGATTCAAAGAGGTTGTTGATAAAAAAAAAAAAAAGTTTAGTTTAACTATCCTTTAAAAGTAAGGGTCGGGAAACATCAGAAAGCCGCCATGCCGAGGAGACGATAAAATCAGATCTGATTGATCTTGTGGAGAAGGAAAAGTCACAATGCAATGGAATTAAATCCCAATAATATAAAATAAGACTGTATGATAAGGCGATTGAAAGAATCAGAACACATGCTCGACTCCAATAACATCCTCAGTGGGAATATATAAAAATGAACACCACATAGGAGACTGCAATTAAGAAAGAAAGATCATTAGCCTATGACTAAAAAATCTAACCCGAACGACAATACAACTAATGCAAAATCATATATGGGTTTGTTTAAGAGCCAAATTAGCGACATCAGGTGTAATCAATTTGGGTCGGTTGATTTGTTTAACGGCATATCAACAAATCCTTATGGGTCATTTTATGCCGAAATTTAATTGAAATACATTGAACACAATTTTATGGCTTCAACTACAATTTAAATTCTCATTCTGCTTTAAAATTGTATTGTTGTTGTTTTCTACTATAAAAATGTGAGGGTTTTTGTTTGTGTTTGTATCTGCCCATAGCTGGGATTCTAACAGGTGGTGCCACCTCGGGTCAGGGTGGACCCGGGAACAACAGCAATTAAGAGGTGGATTCACACTCCTCAAAACATCCAGTCTCCTGATCAGCGGTCTTGCTGCCGGATGTAATTAATCGTCATACTCAGGACTAACTTGGGTCTGGTAATGCAAAAATGACCTATATATTCTGGTTTATTGGGTGCTGAAATTTTTTCTATTATTGATTCATTTTTAATTTATTCCTCAGTAGGAGTAGATAGGTTCGCATATCATCCGGTTCACACACCTCCTTCGTCTTTTGATCAGAAATAGAGGTTTGTCCCTTGTTTCCTGTTTAGGACTGGGATTCCGGTTCCTTCTAAGTTCTACGTTAATTCTGTACTTCTAACGTTTCCACTGAAATCTTTTTTTTTACTATTTATTTACTTTTCTCCCTCAATAATAGATAGATTCGCCTATCGTCCGGTTCATGCTTCTTTCCGGTCTTTTGAACAGGTGAACGGCACTTTCTTTACTTTTTGAAATGTTGTTTCGCTAGTCCGTGTTCGGATTTCGGCGTCGCATTTTTCATTCTCTGTTAAAAGGCTTCTCAGATATTTAAGCTTCTGTACGGGTTTGATGTTTATGTCTCCAATCTGTAACTCACATCTTAGGCTTTTTGCTCTTACTGGTGGCCATATTTTCTGTCTTCTTGCAGTTAATGTTTAATATCCTTTTGTTTCTCGCTTTCTTTTACCATCCTCTCTAGAAGGTGCTGCAGTTTTGTTTTCCGTGTCGGCCATCAACATAGTGTCATCTGCATTTCTTATATTGTTAAGATTGCACCCACCGATAATAAATCCTGGCAGGGTTTTTATTGTGGATTCCGAGATGAAATCCGGTCTCAAATGAATGACAAACGCAGGAATGAAATATAGCAAATAAATGTAATTACACAATAATACAATTGGTAATACGGTTAGTAGATCCAGAAATGCGGCTAGTAGCAATAATAATATATATACAGTCTGGGAAATTCAGTATTGAAGTAGGACTTCCTTCTGAGTCTACGTGCTCGCAACTGTGACTCCTACAAGGTGGTTACCTCACACTCTCACTCTCTCACTGTTCACTGTATCAGTGTATCTCTCTTACTGTCTAACTCCCGGGTATTCACCGGCAGCAGTACAAGTACACACTCGTCGAGTCCACTTGTATGAAAAAAAGGGGTGGACCCCTTAACAGTTTCCAGTTCCCTTAAGATAGCGTCACTGTAGAAGTGGAATAAATTTGGGAAGAAGACACACCCTTGCTTCACACCCCTTTCCCCATTTTTTTTTCTGTAGCGACTCAATTCAGGAGGTAAAGTAGAGTAACAGACATCGGCTGAATCGGAGAGCCGAGTTCTAATTCCAGGCAAATCCATTATATTACGTGCTAATATCCTTGGGAAAGTTATGAATCCTCTTCTCCTCCCCGAGCTAACAACACAAACGCAAAACTGCTTTATACCATTTTCCTTGAAAACAACCAACGATGGTTGAAGTACTTGGAACATTACACACAATTTCGGCAAGATCCTTTACTAGGTTCCACTTGACATTAAACGACTTATTTGCCACCATAAAGCCTCATCAAACATTCTCAGTTAATTCTAATATATATATATATATTTCTTTCTCCTAGACGGGTTGTCCTATTTAAACTAAAGAACATATTATTTGTTCTATTATTTAAGTAGGATATGAATTCAGTATTTCCCTCCCACTAAACGGGTCACCTTACAACTAAGGAATATTATTTGCCCTATTATCTAGGTGGGATATGAATTAAGCGTTTTCCTTCTCCTAGATGGGTCGCCCTACGTAAACTAAAGAACGTATTATTTGCCCTATTATTTAAGTGGAAAATTAATTCAGTGTTTTCCTTCTCCTAGATGGGTTGTTCTACCTAAACTAAAGAATCTATTATTTGCCCTATTATTTAAGAGGGCTATGAATTTTCCTTTTCTTAGATGAGTTTTCCTACCAAAACTAAGGAACATATTATTTACCCTATTATTTAAGTGGGAAATGAATTCAGTGTTTTCCTTCTCCTAGATATGTTGCCCTGCTTAAACTAAAGATCATATTATTTGCCTTATTATTTAACTGGGTTACGTATTCAATGTTTTTCTTCTTCTATACGTGTTGTCCTTCCTAAAATAATAACCCGTTATCGGTCCATTTCCTTCTCCTAGGCTAATTACCAGCAGAGGCAAGAAAACCAAGCCTACCTTGATATTTGACTCATATCTGAAGGGTGATTGATCCATGCCTTTTCTAAAGGCTTTAGTGCAAAGTAAACGAAACATATTCGAAGAGAAATTGAACTCGGCACGCCGTCATTGTCCCCGCCACGATAACCACTACACGAGATGCACATCCCAACTGACACACAATAATGCATCAATAACTACGCTTTAAAAGTCTTATTAAAAATTTGACTGTAGAGAAACAATGACAATTTCCGAATATGACAAACTACCTAACCGTTGGAACGAATAAGGAGCAGCCACTTTGTACACTGATGTTATAAGGAACGGTAACTCTTCTTGACAGTATGTCAGTTGAGATTAAATATGGAGGTAAAACATTGAGATTCTCTTCCTGTCTTATTTGTCAAGCCCCGGATGACGTTCATGCCACATCAGCTTGGATGGTGATGTCATGTACGGTAATGGAGGTATTGATAAGTGTGTGACGGTGAAATCACACTGGATGATTGGCTAGCTGAAGTGAAGCTGTTAGTACAACTGTACATACACTGCATCTCGTATAAGTGACGTCGATAACTTAACATCGGTAAAGGTTGTCTGTCACCAATCCGTCGCAGGTGAAGTTACTCTTAGGGACCTAATGGACGCAGAAGGACTTTTATGATATTCTATTTTATTTTTTTTAGGAAATGTTTCCGACCTCACACTTATTACGACTACCCCATTTATTAATTTCACAATTTTTGACCCTTCAAATGATTTCCGATCTTCCACTTTTATTTTTTATTGTATATTGAGAAAAATCTCACCGCCTCATTTATTAAGGTCCCTTTTTATATTAAGAGTATTTTATACAGATATACAAAAAAGAATGAAGCGATAAAGGTATGGTAAAGAAAACAGAGCTTGTAAATTTCTCTCTCTTGCTCTTTTTCTCTCTCAAAGATACACACACATTTTACAGGCCAAATTGGTGATAGTTGCGCATCCTGCTTCTTGTTTTCTAGTCAACTTTGATTTTCAAAAAATTTAAATGAAATATCAATCGTTATCTCCTGTCTTCTTAATTCTTGATCTTTTATTGTTCATTCTCCTTAAATGTGTTTTAATTTTCTCATATTTTCTAACACTAAGTAACCCCTCGCGTCTTAGTGGCTTTATTGTTTTGCTTGGAGTGAAATAATTTTTTAACAAATACCGTGAACGCTTGACATCGATGTTCGAACCGAAAAAAAAGGCAAGGGAATGATGATTTTTATGCCAAACAGTCTTTAGATTCGTGTACTTGTGAAATATGAAATATTTGCACAATAAATCTATCTATCTATCTATCTATCTATCTCAGTCTATTCATTATCTATCTATCTATCTCAGTCTATTCATTATCTATCTATCTATCTCAGTCTATTCATTATCTATCTATCTATCTATCTATCTCAGTCTATTCATTATCTATCTATCTATCTCAGTCTATTCATTATCTATCTATCTATCTCAGTCTATTCATTATCTATCTATCTATCTCAGTCTATTCATTATCTATTCATTATCTATCTCAGTCTATTCATTATATCTATCTATCTATCTATCTATCTCAGTCTATTCATTATCTATCTATCTATCTATCTCAGTCTATTCATTATCTATCTATCTATCTATCTCAGTCTATTCATTATCTATCTATCTATCTATCTATCTCAGTCTATTCATTATCTATCTATCTATCTATCTATCTCAGTCTATTCATTATCTATCTATCTATCTATCTATCTATCTCAGTCTATTCATTATCTATCTATCTATCTATCTATCTATCTCAGTCTATTCATTATCTATCTATCTATCTATCTATCTCAGTCTATTCATTATCTATCTATCTATCTATCTATCTCAGTCTATTCATTATCTATCTATTCATCTATCTATCTCAGTCTATTCATTATCTATCTATCTATCTATCTATCTCAGTCTATTCATTATCTATCTATCTATCTATCTATCTCAGTCTATTCATTATCTATCTATCTATCTATCTATCTCAGTATATTCATTATCTATCTATCTATCTAATTAGCTAGGTATTGGGAAAATAAGAGTGGTTTTCCCGTACCTTTTACACGGTTTTGAATTAAGAGTATTCTGTCTCTTAGACTAACCGCCATCCAAGTCTGAACTGTGAATGTCTGTAGATTCTTTATGGCCAAATTAAGGCGTTTTATGTCAGATGGAAATTTGCCGAAATCGTGTGTAATGTTATGAGTATTTTCGTCCATCGTTGTTCGTTTTCAAGGAAAAAATGTAAAAGTCAAGAAGCAAGCAGCTCTGCGTTTTTTTTTTGTTTTTTTGTGTTTTTGTTTTTTTGTTTTTTTGCTGTTGGAATAAACGAGTTACGTCTAGGAAATAGAATTTATCATCTCGTAGTTTATTTTACAGGTTGTTTGTAAAATATTAAGTATCTGCACAATCTGTCTACCTCCCTGCATAATTAGAAACCTATTGGAAAAATTTAGAGTGATTTCTCGTTACCTTCTCTTTTGAATTTAGAATAGTTTTTCATAGAAAATATTGGCCCTCTGACAGGAACCGAACCTGTATCCTACACGGAACCGTCATATAGCCTAACGGGTTATATCATTTATCTAAAGAGATAGCGTCTGGTTAGAAAATTTGACCTTGCTAACCAAACGCTTCCTCTGTAGCTAAATAGTATAGCACGTCAGGTTCGATTCCTGTCAGAGGACACATATTTCCTATGAAATTTCTCGAACATTCAAGCCGGTAAATGTTGTTAATACTGTTTATTATAAACAGACCATTTACTTAAATATTTGTATCTATAAAAATAATATATAAACAGAATATATATATATATATATATATATATTATTATTATTATTATTATTATTATTATTCCTTTGTTGTTATTGTTGTTAGTGATTAGCGAATGTAAATATTTTAGTTCTGGACAATTTTTGGCTGTAAAGAACAAAAAGAGGATTTTTCATTGCATTAAGTTAACGACTTCTAGACCTCTTTATCTTTAACATTTATCTATTATAATCAATCATCTTTAACATTCAAACTAGAATCAATAAAACCTCTTTTCGACAACACGTTGAATTTTGATTTTGATTTTCTTTTCTCTCGTTTATCAAAACAATATCAGGAACATCCTTACAAGCGCGCACACACACACACCTCTGAAATTTGGGCAACGATTATCTCCCTTTGTCAATCTCCGCCACTCGTCCATTGATTCATATCGGCACCAGCAATCACTTGCAAGTGAACAATTCTATCTGACTGTTGCAAAAGCTTGCCGCATTGTTTGCTAGCAGCCGAACACTGCAACCGCTTATTTATCGATCGCTGTTCCTCTGCACCATCGATAGCAACAGAAGCAGCAGCAGCAGCTGCCACGGCAGGCAAGCAGACACTGAAGCTTGTGTCTGAGATGAGATGCAATTTACACAAACGATTTCATTTCAATTGGGGAAAAATCTCTCAGAAAGTAAATGCGATCAAAAGATCAGGTTCTCAATAGAAACAAACAAAAAAAAATCTTGCTGACCAACGAAGAAAAAAAATACAACAGACAGTTACTTTTCATTCCGATTGGGTAATAAGCAATTATTCTTATTGGATGATCTAAGTCAAGTAATGCTGATTTTCTAAAAATGCATTCGTGCTAATTATTTGAATAGTAATAGAACGCCAAATAAAAGAATGCATATGGCTAGTGATAAGACATTATGTCTATCTGTTGGTTTAAAAGTTAACAATAACATTCAACTCCAGCGCTTTTAACACTAGGAAGATCAGTTAATTTAACCCTTGTTAGGTTATTTAATTCTGAATAAAACAAATATTATAAAAACAAATATTGCAATAAATTTGTAGCGAACTGTGGGTTTACGTGTTGTTAAATTAGAAACACGTATGTTTATTCCTGCTAGAGAAGAAGGTCCAACTACAAGAACATGGCGGACTCAGAGATTGAATCCACCATAAAGAAGTGTAAAGAAAACCAACAAGACTCGAGGCGGTGTAATGTTTAGCAAGCTTGGCTCGCTAGAACAATTACGACTAAGTAGTGAGTTCGATCCTTACTGGGTGTCCCCTAATTTCGGGCTTGTGCCACATCTAAGCTACGCTTGGAAAATCACTATATATCACTAAATAAATCAATATATGTATATATATATATATATATATATATATATATCAACAAATATATGTATTAAACAACAAAATTTTACGATAGACATTAACATTCGTGTTTGTGTGTGAACGTAAAGAGTTTGTATTTTGGTGGATGTTCGTACGTACGTGTATGTGTGTATAATGTTCATGGCGTCTCCCGCAAATGAGAAGACGCAATCTTCTGCAAGAGCTTACATTGTAGATGTCTTCGCTGAAAATGAAGAAAAAGAGAACGAGGCAAGAAATCGCCCATTATTTATAGTGTAAGGAGAGCGCCCCCTAGTGAACAATTTGAACAATTAAGGAGGAGTTAACTCCGACAAATTAATTGGTAGGTAAACATAGGTCCGTTTTATACTAGTGTCGAAAAGATGGACATAGGTCCGGTTTTACACTAAAGTCAAAATGCACACTTTGTTTTACTGATTTTATTTACGGATTATCAACCCAAAAGCCGAAACATATTTTGGGATTGTAATAATAATACTTTTTTATGCTAGTTAATATTGCATTAATTTTTAGAATATCAATGCCTTTTCCAGGTACAATTCTTACTTTTTAGCCCATAGTTGGGAGAGGAGATGGATTCATTCTTTCTCAAAAGTATTTTAGTGCAAAAGAATCCAACGAACGCAAAATGCAGGTTACATTGTACACTTGAGTAAAAAAGCATTGACATATGTTTTGTTTTACAAGAGAGTAACAAAGGTAGACATAAGTCTGTTGTACTCTTATAGAGGAGTCAAAAAGGTACACATAGATCTGGTTTACTCTTACATCAAAGTCAAAAAGATAGTCCTGAGTCTGGTGTACTCTTATAGGAGATTCAAAACGTAGATATAGGTCTAGTTTACTTTTTACAAGAGAGTAAAAAAGGTAGACATAGGTCTGGTTTAGTCTTACAAGAGAGTAAAAAAGGCAGACATAGATCTGGTTTATTCTTACAGGAGAGTCTAAATGGTAGACATAGGTCTGGTTTATTCTTACAGGAGAGTCTAAATGGTAGACATAGGTCTGGTTTACTCTAGAATAAAAAAGGAAAACATAAATCCAGTTTTATACTAGAATCTAATACGTAGACATAGATCCACTGATGTTGTAAATAAAGCAGACATATGTCTAGTTTTATAAAGGGTGTTTCCTTAAGACGGATCAAAGTCAGCACTAAATAAATCAGTGTTATTGGTGAAAATTTATTTATTTCTCAGTTGGATAATGTTATTTAAGTCATGGCAATTATTTGTGAAAAATAATATAGCCCAAATGTCGGCCAAGGCTTCGGCGGCACACCTCCACTCGGTGTTCGAAATTTTGAAGACGTCTCTGCGTAGTCATATTCTACAACCGACAATTATCTGGTTATCACTGGCTGATCCACGACTAAAACAATATCAACCACATCATGAGTGAATGTAACAAATTAACCCAGATACGGCTGACTGGGTTGGAAAGGTCGTCCACTAGGAACTGTGCAAGCGACTACAGTTAGACCATACAGACAAATGCTATGTGAACAGACCAGAATCTATGCTAGAGAATCATCAAACATTCTTGGCTTATGTGGCAGCCAGTCTAAGACAATGGTCGATTTGCCAGGAGAGAGACTACCTGGTGTTATCGGGCTGGAGGGGTTGATCCCAGCGTGCGGCATCCTTGAAAAAGGTTTTAAGTGAAATTGGGTAAACGGAACCCTTGGGGAGTGTCGATAGCTGTGCTAGCATGAAGTCAGGGCTTGAGCTTGCTGGCCTTGTTCAAATTATTGATCACGCTAGATAACATGCTCTTTCCCAGAAACTGTAACTAAGGTCTGCTCAGTTGCAGTATAAACCACAGGTGGGCTCTGTAGGTGTCGAATAAACAGAAATGCACCTGAGCAAGTATCTGCAATAGGGATTCGCTAGCCGCTCTAGTAGATGGGTATCTTCGAATACGAGTGGCCAGCTATAGATAGCGATATAGATATTTCCCAATAAGCCTTGAGAGTTCACAGATAAAAAAAAATAAAAGGAATTCATTGAAAGTCAGGAGATCGAGATTTGTTTTTTAAAAAAGTAGAAGAGAACAACTAGATTGCCCTTGCCAGAGATCTGAGGAAGTTGTGGAGAGCAATATTCGCCTAACTCATGAGGGGATACAAGATTAAAAAAAAGAAAGAAAGTGAAAAGATACATAAGTATATTGATTTTGCCAGAGAGAACTGAGGAATATGACTGTCATGTTAGTCGTTATCAGAGTACAGAAAAACGTTCCGACGAGACCCGGAAAAAAATGGAGGAACTTAAAATTCAAAGGATAGTGCCGGGACCATCCAGGCGACAAGATTACTGAATATGCTAGAATTCTAAAAAGAATGCTGTGTGGAGGTGCGGGGGGGGGTAGGAGACGTGTTGTCACGTGATATGCGATTTAAGCCACCGGTTATTACTGGCGTGAGCAATTTAAAGAAAAAAAGTAAAGCTTAGATTTAGTTAATCAGGTTAAAACCGCAATAAACGTGAAAAACTTGCTCTGCTTAATCGCATGCTGCATATTCATTGCCGTGGTTGCAAAATGGAAAACAAAGACGATGGGTCATAAAATTTTATTTTGTTTTTTTTTTTAAGAAACTGAAGTAAAAAAAAAAAAAAAAACAATCCAAAAAACAAAAAAACATAAACGAACTTCAAAACATAATTTGATTTGTGGGAAGTATTTCCTCATTGGGAAGGAAAACAGTTTTAATTGGTGGATTAAAAAATACAATAAACTAAATAAAAGTCCGTATAATGAGGTTTACTCAGCTGATAATGGCAGAAGGTCAAAAGTAAGGGGTCCGCCACAAAAATTCGTATTCATAGCAAGTACAGGGAAGTATTAAAAATTGCTCCATCC